AAAAAAAAAAAAAAAGTTGACAGTAAAATAAACATCCATATAATCACAGGGAAAAGAAGATTGATTTCATTGATTCAATGGGACAAACAAAATTAGCAATTGGGAAGTTTACTATCATATAGACCGAAGTGATATTTTTATTCTCCTTTATTTATTTTTTCACTTATTCAATCAGCAGATATTTTCTGAGAACACAGACTGAGAAATGGTATATTCAAGATCTGATGACAGCCACTTTGGAGATACTTCTTAACATTTCACAAGTGGATTTCATGAAAACTGTTTAGGGTTTCACACCCTTTGAAACAGAATAGTGCCTGCTTCTGTCTTAATTTTGAGGAATAAACAGACAAATAAATAAATGACTTAATTATTTCCTCATTTGAAATGAAGCACTGTGGAGTACATGAGGTTATAATGAATGTATATACGTGGGGACTAACAGAAATTGAATGACTACTTGCATGACTGCAGTGTCTTTGTTGAGCAACCAGCTGGTTATCACTAGCTGGTCATGGTGGTCTCACTTGTTTTAATTTTTCTTATGCAAGTTACGTATTGTTTAATTTATACCAAAGAAACTAAATTAATCACAATTATAAAATTAAGTAACTTTTCAGATTCACCTCAAGATATTCTTTATCAGATTTGAAGTTGTATCCATGGATCAAATATGTTATATAAATTTCAGGCTGTCTCTAGTGTTTCAAAAGTCAATAGTAAAAGAAGAAATAATCATGATGATTACATATATAAAGTCAGCCATAACCTCACCATATTATGAAGAGAAACACTTAAATTGCATTCTTAAACAGAACATAAAATTCATTATAGTAAATCATTCAGTTGTCTGAGTGCAACATATAAGAATTTCAAAATTCAAGAAGTATTTTTCCTGCATTCAATACTGATCCAGTAATTTAGGTTTGTTTGTTTGTTTTTTTCTATATTTTAATATACATAACCAAGCACAATATAATGCAATTTTAATTTATTTGTCAAAAATTGTCCTCTTTTTTACATAATTTATTTAAAATAAATTTAAGAGTGTGTCATTTTTTTGTGCATTGAGTAAAGCCAAGTATTGCAAAGACTATTTAACTATTAACTTTATAGTATTTAATAACATAAAAATTTTAACTTCAGATAATCTCTTTAATCACATACCACACAAAAATTACAAAATGATTTTTTAAAAATGTAAGGGTTATGAGAAGCATAATTTTAAAAAAATGGAGAGAAAGAAAAATACTGAGATATATTTTTCCACTTATTTTATAGACGAGAAAACTGAGTCTCAGAGAGGTTGAACAATTTGCATAAGGAAAAACAACTAAAAGATAGTTGATTCTAGATTCAAATTCAGAACCATCTGATTCTAAAATTCACGCTTCCAATCACTTACCCTGGTGTGTGCCAGTGCTTAACACATTGGGGGGGGGTTGCGGAAGTGAGAGTCTAAGTGGTACTTCAAAGACAAAATCCTCAGGCAACACAGGTAGCTCAGACAGGCTGAAGCTTCAGTAAGCAAGGACTAGAAATAATATCAAGGCTTCTAGCTAAAAGATTTAGGAAAATTAAATTGCACCATAAAAATAAATAAATGAAGCAAAGAAATGTGTAAGCTAAGATAGGAATTTCATTTAGATTGAAAGGTGCTGAGATTGATTTTTACCAATAGGATAGGAACATAATGCCTAAGGCCTTTGACTGCTAACCAGAAGATTGGCGGTTCAAACCCACCAGCCACTCCTCAGAAGGAAAATTGGGCAATCTACTTGCATAGAGATACTGCCTCCGAAACCCAAGGAGAGGTTGCTATGAGTCAAATAGACTCAACAGCAGTGAGTTTGTTTTTTTTTCATTTGAGTTGGAGATAGCATAAATACTGGCTCTAACTTAGTTAAGTAAAAGCTGTTTATTTCATAGGTTCTTTTCATTCTATTCCTTGGTGTTCTCAGAGATTCATGAAGGCCTTTGAACCATATGATGCTTTGGATAGTGGAAGGAACACAGGCCAGAGACCAGACAGACTTGGGTTCAAATATCAATGTTTTTTACCTTACGGACCATGTGACCTTGGACAAATATGTAATTTCCCAGAGCCTCAGTTTGCTCATTTGTAAAATGGAGATAATTTTATTAACCTTGCAGATTGTTGTAAACTTTAGCGATATCATACACTAAAATCACTTAGCCTTGGGCATAGTATATAATAGATACTTTCAAAATGATAGCAAATGGTAATAATAGCAATGGTACTTCTCTCCTGTGGAGAACATCTGTGGCCCAGCAGTCACCTCCTCACTAAAATCAGGTCCCATATATCTTTGTCAAAGCTTGGCCTACATTGTTTTTAATTCAACTTAGAAATGTATATACAAGCATAGACAACGAATGTTTTCCTAAAATATGTAGGGTCACTGCTTAAGGCCATACAGGTTGGCAGATGCCATTCAATGATGATAATGAGAATGCCACCTCAGGGCCTTGCATAAAACAGCAGCACTAGAAACTTGCTGGCAGATATATAGAGTCCCAAAGAGATGGTAGCCACGACAGAATCAAAGAGATGCATGCCACTGCCCACACTTACGTTGGTTGTACATTGGATGCCTGCTTACTTGTTTGATATTCTCCACAGATCTGTACCCCTGACCTGGTGGTGTTCCTGGCTTGCGCCAATCAGAGGCTCAAAGAAAGATTATTGAAGCGCGCAGAGCAACAAGGGAGGCCTGATGACAATCTGAGAGCTACCCAACGGAGACTAATGAACTTCAAACAGAATGCTGCTCCATTGGTTAAATACTTCCAGGAAAAGGGACTCATCATGACAGTAAGTTGGCTACTTTTACAATTCCAGACAAGCATGATCTTTTAGATTTCTGAAAAGCCCATGTTCTCATTTAGAAATCCTCTTTACTTTAGAAAAGTGACAATTTTGGGGTATGAACAATGAAAAAGTTAATTTTTACTTGATTTGCCATAATGACAAAAACTTTCATTTTAGTTTGACTTAGAGAAATATGAAAATTTTGACCTTTGCTAGAATTTCATAACCCCCAATCAAAAAAAAACCAGATTTTAAAATAATTATTTGGATTATAAAAAGGGACCATATTTGCTGGCCTGATAGAACCTGGTGGAACCCCTGAGACTATGTCCCCTTGCTGACCTTCAGGTCTGGAATTGAACCCACTCCTGTGGCTTCTGGCCAAACAAAAGACAGGCACATGAGCTGAACATTCACATTAGGTAGATACACTCCTTGGAGAGATCAATCGCGGAGAATAGAAGGACTGTGTATACACAGGGAGACAGCTTAGGGGCAGGAGTGCATGGGAGGGAAGGACACAGGGAAGAGGTAACCATGGGGAGGAAGTGGGAAGAAAGCTGTTGCATTGTGGGAAATTGCAGTCAATGTCATGAGACAAAGTGTATGTGAACTACTGTATGGAAGATGAATTTGCTCTGTGTCCAGCATATCTGGACACTCAGATCAGAGTGATCCCATGACAGCTGGATGGTCCCAAATCACAATAAAACTTTTTTAAAAAATATTATTTGGGTACCTTTAAGCAATATTTGTACAACTTCTCAACTCTTCTATTTGCCTTTGAAAACCTGATAAAATTGATGGACTTGAAAACACACAGTTTGACATCGTGTTATATTTTACTTAAGTTGTAAGTTAGGCTTTGTTTACTATAATGTACCATGTAAAGAATGGAGATTGAGATTGCACAAAAAAAATTTGCCTCAGTGTTTGACTTGGTCATAAGGAAGTGATAGTGTTTCAAAATGGAATGAGTGATCTTTCTGCTCTGTATGATACAATGCAAATATTAATGTTTCATAAATATTTAGTTGTTTGTTTTGTGATTAATGATATTGAGTTGCCAAAGAAGGATAAGGTTGAATCATTAGTTAATACTGCTATTAGAATAAAAGAGTTCAGAGGTGAAGACTCAGCTAAATACATGATCCTCAAACAACAGAGATTCAACTTATTGAAACGTACAAAACGAAACAACCAGTTGCCATCGAGTTGATTAAGACTCATGGTAACACTTTGTGTGCTAGGGTATAACTGTGCTCCATAGGGTTTTTAAGCTGATTTTTTGGAAGTAGATAGCCAGACCTTTCTTCCAAGGTAGCTCTGGGTGAACTTGAACCCCCAACTTTTCAATTAGCAACTTGAGCATGTTAACCATGTGCACAACCCAGAGACAACAAGGATCACAGACAATATGGAGAAAGCATATCTGGACACTTAGATCAGAGTGATCCCATGACAGCTGGATGGTGGCAAACCTAAGCAGAAGCGCCTCTCTGCCCTTGGACCATTCCCTACTAGACCAGGGAATCTTGTTTAGTAGGGTCACTGCCCCCTAAGAGAATATGGAGAAAGTGATGAATGTCCATCCCACTAAAATGCACTAATTCTAGGTAAATGAGCTGAAGCCTGTCCACAGAGTTCCTGTGACTTAATAATTCTTGGGTTAAAAATCTCTTCATTAGACTAAAATGCCATTTAACCAGAAAGAGACAGTCATGACATTTGAATAATATTCTCTTTCCAATCTTTTTAGCACTATATTAGGGAATATTTATTGTGATTTGCTGTCATGTCAGAGTTATAACTCTTGTCTGAAAATTGTTCACCATGCTGAAGTTCATTTTTTATCCTAAAACAGATATTGAGTAATGGGAAAGATTCAGAAAAATCAGGATGATGTTTCTATGACCATTTTTGGATGGATGTTCTTGTTTTTCATATAAATCACCAATACTGACTTCTGCCTTGTGTTAGGAAAAAAGAAATTTCCAGACTGAACCCTAGCTGCAAGGCACAGAGCCAGAGTTTTAATTGATGTTTGCAACCCTTGAAGGTATTACCAGAGTGTCTCTGTGATTGCTCCGTGCTTGTCACATTCGTCATCACAAGCAGAGCAGATTTCCCAAATGAATGCAGAGTGGGGTTTGTTAATTTACTAATATTTTGCATGGAGGTGAAATACCATTGCCTCTAATTGAAGGAGTCAACAACAATGTAAATGACAGGCTGCAATCCCACTGCTAAACCCAAATGAGCTTTAAGATAAACACCTCTAATTACTGGGAGAAGACTTGCCTTGGAAAGTCACCTTTTGGAAAGTAAGGAACACAAACACAGGCTCAGCTCCAGGGAATATAATTTGAAAAAAATAGGTGCAAAAACTATATGCAATCAAAGCCATGGGCCATTGGATATTCTATTTAGTGGGAAAAATACAGAATTTGCCTCAGAAATAGTTGCATACTCATGTGCATTGAACGAATGCCACTTGATGTGGGTGATAAGCAATGAAGACCCATATTTAGATTAGACTGTGAAGTAAGCAAATTATCAATTTTCTTTTGGACTTTCTATAGAAATATTCAAGAGAAGCATAACTTAAAATGAGAAGTAAGATGCACTACTTCTCACTACCCATACTAGGGTATGAAGTGACATGATAATTAGTACCTAGGTTTGCCACATGGATCTCTCTAGCCAGCAGGGGTACAGGCTGAAAAAATGTTAAAATCAGCATTATTTCCTGTTTACTAACACCAGTTTTCCTGGGGAAGTGAGCCAGGAATAACTATAAGCTACTTTGGTAGGTAGCAGGGCCACTGGGAGATGCAAACAGTTAAGGCAAAGTTAGCAGTTCAGGTCTATCCAGGGGCACCTTGAAAGAAAGCTCTGGTGATTACTTCTGGAAAGCCAGCTATTGAAAGCCCTAGGAGCACAGTTCTATTCTGACACACACGGTCACCATGATTCGGAGTTGTTTTTGTTTCAGTGTGTACAAAGACTGCATAGACCAGTGATTCCCTAATTTCAGTACTTATCAGATCAGTTAAAAAAAAAAATTAACGGGCTAAGATGAATGTTGCCCTTTTTTTTTTCCCACTAAGTAACATTGGGAAAAAAGAACTATCTATTATTGTCATTGTCTGAAAGGAATATTTTCACCACAAAAAAGTATAGATAACATGAACTCCAAATAAAGTCTGTATAAATCTGTTTGGCTTTAGGAAAAACTCACATTTTCATTATTTTTCTCATTTTGCTATGGATTATTGAACAATTGTCACAAACTGGCATCACTCTAGGTACTAGACAGGGAAACCACTGGCACAGAGAACATGTCTTTGTCAAAACCACACTATTGCTGATTCATCAGACCTTGTCCCTGAGTCCTGGATAGCCCCCATTTGTGCTACATTTGCATAATTTGTCCTGTATCACTTCCTTCAAATTTGAGAATTCCTCCATCATATATTTCAACTTTACCACTGAAACTATTTAATTCCCATCCCATTAGACTCTCCTACCCAAAACAAAAGTAAAAAAAAAAAAAAAAAGTAAAATTAATTCAGACAGAACTACTGATACTAAGATACTGAATCATTATTTGTTAATCAACTACATGTTTCATAGGAATCAACACTAACATTTAAAATACAGGTACACTTATCCCTAAAATTAACAGCCATCGGTTGATTATCACCATCCCCACTAGTATCACCACACAGGGTACTAGAAATGAAAAGGAGCTCAGGGAGAAAAGAAATCTAAGCTGTAGATTCAGCAACCCACTTAAACATAAGACAGTCAAATAAAATATTTGGTAACAGTTTGCCCAAACAAACTCATTCTTCTAAAATTACTTGGAGGGAAGTTCTGTTGCTCCCTCTAAATATATTGAGGTTGATGAATTTATAATATGTAATAATGAAACTGTATTGCCTTTATATGCTAACAATTATTATATCCTGTTTAAATATCTATTGCCATATAATCAAAAGCCCTCAGTAATCTCTTATTTGATGGATTTAGTAACTTAAAGAGAAAGTTGTTGAGGAGTTGTCTTGAAAGATTAATAAGAAAGACCACAGAGATGTTCTGGAAGATATTATTTTAAGTGATGATGGTGTTTATATGTGCCTTGATATATGGCCCTCTGAATTGTTTTTCAGTAATCTATTTTTGGACATTTGATTGCTAACCAGAGGTTGATGGTTCAAACCCACCAACCACTCTGTGGAAGGAAGATGGGGCGATCTACTTCCATAAAGATTTGCTACCTCAGAAACCCATTGGGGGTCACTATGAGTCAGAATTGATTCAATGGCAGTGAGTTTGGAGTTTGACACAGTATCTTCTGGCATGAAATCTGATACTGATAGAACATCAGTGTTGAGAGCCCAGAAGTTACATGAGAAGCATTGGTTTTTGACTTGTAGAAAGAGCAACATAAAAAAAATCAGTCTCTGAGCAATGAGCATTTATCAAATCTACTATGTGCAGTGAGTCCCTGGACAGTGCAAACTGTGAACATGTTTAATTGCTAAATGAAAGGTTGCAGGTTTGCATCTACCCAGAGGTGCCTCAGAAAAAAGCCCTGGCAATCTACTTTCTAAAAATCAGCAATTGAAAACCCTATGCAGCACCGTTCTACTCTGGAACACATGGGGTCACTGTGAGTCTCAATGGACTCAATGGTAACTGGTTCTGTGTGCAGAACTGGCAAGACAATGCTGCCCTTGGAAAAGTACTTACTTAGGAAAGTAGCATCTCTGTGGATTATTCAGTGGTATCGTTAAATTTACCTACTAACATAGGTTTTTGTTATCCTGCAAAAATTACAGGACTAAGCCAGAACTAAAGTGAAAAGTGAGTTTGATTACTTTCATAAATTGTCATTATTTTGTGCTCTGAAAGCTAAAATACTGTGATACAATCTCATTCCCTGCTCTTTTGCAGAGAAAGGAAAATGTAAAACTGAAAGATAAAGCCATTTGCTC